TCGAGCACAACAAGAGGTAAATGCCAGGATTCATAGCGTCACATACGTGGATACACAGAAAAAACAACATAATATAGTATCTCGTAAAATAACGAAATTTGTCACGAAAAAATCTTTGTTATCAAAATCAGATTTGGAAAATAAGTGCAAAACATTTACAACAAATGTTAAATATTTTATTAATCAATATGGAGTAGAAAATATTTATAATTCGGACCAGAGTGGATTCCAGTTAGAACTTCACGCCGGTCGTACTTTAGCAAATAAAGGTGCAAAAACAATAGAATCTGTAGTACAGTCTGTATCCGCAACCACGCATAGTTACACAATACAGCCAACTATTTCTGCTGATAGTAGATTATTGTCGCCTCTTTTCATCGTATTAAAAGAATCCACAGGAACGTTTGGTCCACGAGTGCAGCAATCGTTATTTAACGCTCCTAACATTTACGTAATGGCTTCAAAGTCAGATAAATTAACATCAAATCATGTAAAAATCTGGTTGAGAGAAGTTTTCTTTCCGAACGTCGGGCCACAATCTGTATTACTATTAGATTCTTGGAGTGGACATTGTCCCAACATAATTGTCGAAAGTAGACCAAATTCTGCAACAGATATATATTTTCTAACAATTCCGGCTGGTACAACGGAAAAAATACAACCACTAGATGTATATGGCTTCCATTTGTGGAAAAATTTTATCAAATATTTCTCTGATAATGTTATGTTACTCGATCTTGCAATTGATCTTCATAATAGGAACAATATCTTGAAATTGCAGTCATTAACACACCATCAATTCTCGTCACCTAGGTTTCAAAATTTATTTAAATTTGCATGGTTTAAAAGTGGATATTTACAGACTAGACCCCCAGAGTTTGAGGCACCGGTTGATTTTTGTTTCAAAAAAGATCCTAAAGTACAATGCGATATTTGTGGCAAAACTGCTATAATTACTTATTCTTGGTGCAAACGATCACTTTGCATCACACATTTCTTCCATGAGCACCACCTTTGTTACGAATATGTACTATAAGTAAAACACATTTATTTTCTGTGTATGCAAATCCTCTATCGATTTTTCTTAATATTATATTAATTATATGATTTTAAAATATTATAATAACATTATAAATTGTAAACATTATACATTAAATATATGTAATTGTCTATGTATTATTTTTTTACAATTAATTACATTCCCCTACTTACAGTAACGTATCTAGCTACAGTATTCATCTACTTGAACGGCATGACGCGTATAGCACAATATTATCACGACGTTTTCCAACTATTTAATCGA